AGGGGGGACAGGGGTGGTTTAAAGGCACAAAATAAAGGGGAAAGTAATACCTCTCTATTTAGTGGAGATCAACGCTCAGGAAGCTCCATTAGTGCTCGCTGAACACTCCTCATTGTCCTAAATCTACTCCCTGTGGTGCAATACCGCGCCGCAGTTGCATAAGGAGGTTAAACACAAAAGTTCATGCATCCTTTATTAGGGGAAACAAAACAAAGCCAATTTCCTTGCCCAGCAACAACGAAGTACCCAATATCAGCAAGGGCCAGCCGTGGCTCCCGTCCTTGCAAGCAGCCCTGGCTCAGCCGCACGCCACACTGACCTCGGCGGATGGAGCGGCTCCTTGGGCTGCCTGCTACAGCCCTTCCCGAAAACCATGCAGGCACGGATCCAAACCCAACAGCAATTTCCCATCGCACCAGGAAAGACCAGGGAGCGAGAAAAGTGGGGAACAGAAATGCTGCCCCGAAATCTCTGCATTTTGGGGGTATTACAGGAGTGTGGAGGACTTCTGCCACTCTCTTTCCCAGTTTTACACTGGTCAATGACATTCACTCGCAGATTACGGTTCCAGACCTCCTGGTCTACGCGTCTGGGGTTTTTTTTAGTCAGCCACCCTAGCAGACAGAGAATGTCAGAGAAGAAATACAAAGGATACAGAATATTTAAAAAGTGGGTACTATTACTATATCCTCAAATCACTTTAAATGACGGAACAGAAAGAAAAAAAAAAAAAAAAAAAGAGGAATAAATCCCTCGGGATCACTTTTTCTTTGCTGTAATTTTCAGATGTTAGTATGTACAGTAGAGGGCTGCCTCTGCTACGATACCACACTATGTGTTTCAAAGTTTGGATACGGCATGCTGTTAAGGCACCTTCAAGTAATGGTCACTGATTTATTCACTAAGCAAAGACGCATTTTCTGTAAACCACACTGCGTCCTCCAACACACACAGTACCAGCAGCCACTCACACCCGTCATCCAGAGACAACAAAACTCTCTGTATTTGCCAGGGACAAACCACACCAGTTCTAAGCAGTCACTTCAAAAATAAGTATCTGCCGGGGTTTGGGAGCGGACGTTTTGCACGACTGCGTTATTTGTTTCCCAAGAGAGGAAACACGATAAAATTAAGTGTTGTCCGTCCCTAATTGTCTACAAGATTAGAAGGGTTGAAAACACACATCAGCCTAAAAAAGTAGAAGCAAGATCTCTGTACTGCTGCAGGATTCCTTGCTGGGAGACAAAGCTGTAAAGGCAGGCATTCAGTGCAGGGTGCCTGGTGCAGAACTAGATTGCTTCAGGACCAACAGGAGGTACAAAGACAACCTCTCCTGGGAGGGGACAGGCAAGTTACTGCACATCACCTCTCCCTTCCACACTGAACGGTACCGGGTTTGGGCTTCACGGTTCATGGCACGGGGAAGGGGATGCTTTTCAAGATGAAGGGAGCTGATGGGAGAGGAATGCTCAGGCACCACTCTATGCAGACAGCTGACTCCATCCCAGATAGTGAGTGGGTCACTCGGTGCTGCAGCTGGGGGCACAGGGCCACGGGGTCGGAGGGTGCTTGCAGTTAAGCCCGATGGCCATTTCTACACTAAGCAATTTTCCAGTTCTGGAAAAGAGTGAGAAAGGTGGGACAGGGGCATAGATCCCAGCACAAAAGGAGAGACCACAGTGTACCACCAGTCTACTCCAAGATGATACAAGGGTCCCAAGGCACCCACCAGACCTGCCTCTCCCCCCATACCCCAACCCACACCAGGTAACAATGACACAGGGTGCAGTGGGAATCCCAAGAGCAGTGGGAAACCAAATTATCCCTGTACTTGGGGTAATAGTGTCCAGAGAAAAGGGACCCCCTACCCCTGACCCTCTCGTGCAGGTGGATGACTTGATATTTAGTGGCTGTGTGCAGCTCCTTCTCCAGTAAAAAGATGCATCCTTTCCTCACACAGTCAATGAGAAACGTAATGTGATCTGTCGTGCGCTTGAATCATGGGCTTGTTCGTTCATTTGAATTAGCAATGTTTTCTTCTTCTTCGGGGACTAGAATAATCACTCAGATATTTACAAACATCAATCAGTGCCTTCGCGAGGTCTCCCCCAAACCATCACGACAAAATCACCGTCTGCAGGAGCCCCGCGCCAGCTGTGTCCAAACAAGCCTGCGCTTGCTGAGAGCTGGGGGCTGCCGAGGGAGAGGAGCGCTGGATTTCCAAGTCCTGGGGGGGTCTTCCCAGTCGGCTGTCTCTTCCTTGGGGTGCCTCTCCCCGCACCACTGTCCCAGGGTGCTGGCTGCTGCTATTGCTGCTGCGGGCACAATGGTCCCGTTCATACTCCTCCTGAGCCTTTTGCATTTTCCGCTTCTTCATCTTCCTCTTGTGGATGTGGAAGGTGGTGAGGGAGAGGAGGATCAGGCAGAAGATGAGGGTGACCAGGACAATTAAAACCAGGGTGGACGAGAAGGACTGAAAGAGTTGACCCACTTGCGTGATGCAGGTGCTGCTGGTATTTAAGGTGGCAGATGTCCTGTTCAGAAGACAAGGCGGCAGGGAGAGCCTCAACTCTTTGGAGAGCTTGGCACTCATTGAGGAGGCTACGGAAGACGAGGATCTTCCTCCCCTCTCTGAAGACGTCTAAATTTCAGTCGGTGTCGGGCTGCTGGCGGGCGCTCGCTGGAAATGCCCGGGATGCTGCCGGCTCAGCCTCCCGCTCGCTCTCAAGTACCCGAGCAGCCTGCAAAGGGAGCCGGACACATCAGCGCCCCGAGGCACCCACCCTGCGCAGCTGCCCCCGCCCCGAGCCCGGCTGCGGCAGCCTCCGCCCTGCGCCCCG